TTTTCCCAACCTTGCTTATACTATAGTAATAATTGAAAGCCTGGTTCCCCCCCCCCCACTTCAGTGATGTACCGAAAATGTAGTATTAGAATGGGTACCAAAAGTAGTTGACACTGAAAAAAAAGCTTTACCCCCCCCCCCCCCCCCCGAAATAGGATTTTTGACCTTGGACGCCACTGATAAGTTTACTGCATGGTACCCTACCCCTCACTTTTCATAAAAGTGAACAAAACGTAGGTATTGGCTTCTTTCGAAAGGTTTAAATACTTAAGCTACATGGGTAGGAATAATCTTTGGACTGCTCTTGCTTATGTTAAATTTTCTGTCAGCTAAGTTTTCTGTTTGCTGAATAAGTCATCCGGGAACTTCAGGTATAATAATCCATATATTAATTGCATTAAAATACTAGTATTCCCCTTTCTGTTTTATTTCTTTGACATTATTGATACCAAAGAGATGACATTTCAGGCTTTCTGGAAAGCCAAACTTGTATCCAGTTTATTTCATTAGAGATTGTTCTATCTGACGTATCCGTATCCGTATACGTATCCGTATCCGTATCGAGATATGAAAGGCATCTCGATCCCGAAGTCTAAACCATTTAATACAATTCCATCTCTGTTTGTGGTTACTTAAATAAACCACAGTCTTGCATTGAAAAATAACAAATGGTAATTTTTTTTCTATAAAAATACTAAACTGCTGTAAACATCCATCATTTCGAAGAAAAATATTGATTAAAAAAAAAAGAAAATGAAACCAAGTTTAAAATTAATTTCATTTTGTTTCCGAATATTTGTTGAAAAATCCCCTTTCTCCTTTTCTTCTCTCATAATATCAGGATATTTTATTGATTCATTCTGTATTTTTCACTATACCATTACACGTAACTGATAACATAATAAATACCTCCCCCCCCCCACACGCACACACACACACAAACTGAAATACAAAATACCTTATCATCAACGCGATCAATAAAACTATGTATCCGTTTTAGAGAGAGTTTCAAATTGATTTCATAATTTGCTTCAGGACCGTTACAAGTTCTGAGTATATGCTTTGAATAGCCAGTTCAACTCCCTCCTTTTCACCTCCCCTCACATTGGCGTCGGAAGGAAATTGAAAGTAGGGAGTGGGGCTAATTGAAAGCGAGAAAAATTCAGCCCTGAAAAAGCAGAAAAAAGAAATTTTTTTTGTTCATTGTCCAAAATCCTTAAATACTATTGTGTGTGTGGGGGGGGGGGGTTCGAACTTTTTTCATTACAATTTTATTTTCAAACACTCCCACTTACCCTACTTTAACCATTGGCGTCGGCAGCAAATTGTAATTTGTAATTGGGGGGGGGCTATTTAAGAAATATTTTGTTATTCCTTCAAAAAAAAAAAAAAATGACAGGCAAAAAAAGGAATTGTCCGTCTAAACACGAAAATCCTATTTCGGGGGGTGGGTGGGGTGGGGGAGGGGGGTATTAGTTGCACTCGCAATTTTTTTCCTAACAACACCACTTTCCACATTTATTTAACCTAAACTAAAACATGTTTGTGGAAAGTGGGGGGGGGGGGGGTAGAAGGGGGCTTTACCTACGCAGCGATGTTCAATGTCTATATTAAGTCTATCTTTGGATAAAAGAGTGGGGGGGGGGGGCGGGTACGCCCCCTAGCCCCCGGTTCCGACATCTAAGTTAACTGCAATACAACATGCCTGTTGAGAGTGGGGAAGGGGCTTATCCCACGCCTCAATATATATTATGTCCATCTTTGCAAATAAAGTGGGGGTGGGGGGCGATAAGCCCCCCCCTACACACACAATAGCATTTAAGGGTGAGTTTTTCAGAGCTTGCTTTGTTTACTAAAAACTCCATCATGTAAATTTCATGAAAAGAAGTTAATATGCAAAAAGAATAGTTTAAGAGAGGAAGATACATCATAACCTAACATTTATTTTCCTCCCCCTTTATCGACAAGTGTTTAATCAATCAAGTCTAAAATATACAGCGTTTAAATGCAACACTTTCAGATCTTGTACATAGTCATTTCTCAAGCTCCTTGAAACCCTGGATACGCATAGGCGTCGGAATCGGGAAGGGGGGGGGTAGGGGCGTCTTATCCCTCCCCCTCTTTCTTGCAAAGATAGACATCATATATAGGCAATTAAAATTGGGGTTTATCTTTTTTTGTTGGTTTAGCACCCCCTTTCAACTAGCTCCCCTTCCTATTTTCTTCCGACGCCCATGATACGGTTATCGACCTACAATTTAGGGAGTGTATTCAAACTACCCCCGAATTACCAGATATCCAAATTTTTTCTGGAGAACTATGACCATCAAATACGTGATAATGAATGGCATAGAAGATGATAAAAAAGGAAATGAGGATGGACATTTTCAGTGAATCCCCCATATACATTTGTTTTGCACTTTGATTAAATCTTTCCCAGTTAATGTAGAACTACATGTATTTACAATTTACAAGTTTGAGATAAAGAGGTTTAACTGTACATATAATTATATATTATTGGGGATATGTCGTGTTCTTGTAAATGTTATTTCAAGAATGAAGAATGAATACCCTAAAATTGAGAGAGAGAGAGAGAGAGAGAGAGAGAGAGAGAGAGAGGTCGATCTATAAATATTTTCTAATCATACCTGTTTTTCTAATTTTATTTTTAAACTTTTATACCCCCTCCACCCAAAAAGACATGATGCAGAAGACGTGTACAGCAACTTATATGTTTTTATTAAAAAAAATCACACTACATATTATTTCTTAGTGAATAAGGTTAAAAACCAAACTTGAAACGACGGAAATGTAATCAGATGGTTTAGACATCGGGATCGAGATGCCTCTCATACCTCGATACGGATACGGATACGTATACGGATACGGATACGTCAGATAGAACAATCTCTATTAATACGTGTTATACGCGTACGCATAAAGAATTCTTCACTTGCCGTATAAAATTAATCAGTTACCTGTACATGGATTATAAAGTTTGCTGCTCATTTAATAACACAAGATTCGAACAAAATAACGTTTTCATGAGATCAATCAGATGTTAAAGAACCCATTTCGAATCAATAACCATATCGAAATATTTACCGTTTTTGAGTTATAATGCAAAAACTTTTATGCTCCCTTGACCCCTAATTTGAGGGGCCAGCCCCTTTTTAATGATGTCAAATGATAGATCTTAAAATTATGCACAATATTTGTGAAACATGTCTTAACAAATTATTTTTAGTTTAAAAGGTACACAAGGAAATATATGAAAAATTTCGCGCTTTTAGGCATTCTCATTTTTGACCCCTATCTAGCACCGTTTTGAGCGCAGAAATCAAAAAAGAAAAACCGATGTGCACAACTTCAATTCTTCTAGTATTTAAATGCAGTTGACATTCTGCTCCAGCTTTTGTCGTTTCTGAGCCTTTGTCTGGAAACGAACAGTACCAAATTTTCATTTAAAGGGAAATAACTCGAAAGCGGAAGGGAATTTTTGAAATGTATGAAAACATTTTAATTGAGTTTTGTAACGTCCAAAAACTCTGAAAATTTGAGCGAAATCCGTTAAAAAATGAGCGAGTTACGAGGTCTCAAAGTTGGCGTCTAGGAAAAAAAAAAAAAAGAAGAATAGGGAATAATTTTAACCATCAGAATCAGTAGAAGGTCTTCCGCCTGAGCGGAAGACCTTAAAAAAAAAAAGGATTGTTTATATTAAAAGTATAATGATCAACTAGTTGTTTGAAATATAATTTTTTTACAGCTGAAAACATCTCCATGCCCTGTTACAACGCACTTTGAAAAATTACGCACTTTGAAAAAATTTTTCAAAGTGCGTTAAAATTTGGGACCAAGCTATCGCACCTGGAAAAAAATATTTTTTTTTCAAAGTGCGTTAATATCGACCATATTAACGCACTTCGAAAAAAAAATGTAAAGATTGATCAATATTCCTTCAAATAATCGGTATGATAAATAACAGATCCTGGTTTGATAACTTTTTTATGATAAAGTCACCGTAGGACCTGAGATATTGACGTTTAAAATATTTAAGGTTTTGATAAAATAAAAGGGAAAATTAAAGGGTTTTAAAAAAAGAGTGACGATTGCTTAAGTTCATTAATTAGTTTCTCTTTTTTTAATTCTAGTTCTAAGTAGATGTAAAGGTGTATAGGGGGCACTTACAGAGGACAGCTTCAAGCAACCTAGCATTTATCATTATAAAAAGGGGCCTATTGGATTGTTCAAAACTATGAAAATTCTTTTTCTCTCATACGTTTTATTACTGTCCTAGTTTTTATTTGTTTTAATTAACTCATTTATTATTGAAAGTTTTCAACGTCAAACCAGTTAGGTAAATACATAATTATATGAATGCTTTGAGTATAGCATAGACATCGAGACTGGGCGAAGGGCCAGGGGAGGGGATGGGGGGGGGGCTAAGCCCCCCACTTATTTTGGAAAGATATATACATCGTATAAGCATTGGAAATGCAGCGTACCCTTTTTAGGTTTATTGCTCCCCTCCCCCGTTTGTTACCGACACCTATGAATTAGAAAGATAAAGATTCGGACTGAGGGATCTTATACCCGTCTTCTCCTCTTTTCGACGGGAGTAAAAACAATTTATTTTTGAGGTTAGGGTTAGGCTTAGTTTTTTGAAAGATAAATAACAAATAAAATCTTTCCCTGACTAAAATATGATTTTTTCTTCAAAGTGCGTTAAGTGTCTCCATGGTAAAATATAATGATGCACTTTGAAAAAAATTTTCAAAGCGCGTTGAGTTGGTCCCAAATTTAACGCACTTTGAAAAAAATTTTCAAAGTGAGTTGATTTTGTCTAATTTAAACGCACTTTGAAAAATTTTTTCAAAGTGCGTTGCCACAATGCCCCGTAACCGTCATGCAATGAATGTTTGTATAATGTAAATCTCTCCATGCTCCCTTACCGTCATGCAAGGAATGTTTGTCTAATTTAAATTAAAACACTTTTTCAGGGTTTCTTGGAGAGACAGTCTTTTTGCAAAGAACCCAAGGGCCCTTTCTGGTGATGGAGCGTATGTGTCAACATCTTTTTTTTTCTTATTTCACAAATCATACGTTTTAATACTAAAAATATCAAATATTTTAAATGTAATTTTAAGACAACTTGTTATTTTAGAGTTACCAAAACTGATCCTGTTTATCAGACAAAATTTTGTACTTGTTCCTCGTACTGGAGTGTTAGAAGTTCTTACAGACGTCAGTACTACGCCAAATGTAACCTAGAAGCCCCTACAGAGCCCTGCTCTAGCGGTGTCAGTCAGACCGTGAACGTCTGCTCACAGAATCGAAGGAAACGTGATACGGTAGACTCTGATGACGTCATGGATGACGAGGAGGAGGAGTTCGGCTACGACCCAGAATACAATGACACAATAGAACTTCCCGTGTGTCTTCTTAATCATTTTTTTGAAAGTTAATCACATTAATTATACAAGTAAAAGAATTTGAAAAGAATTTTGCGAAATATAATCAACAAAATTAATTCCAAGGTACATGTACTCTACCAAAATTTTGTAAGAATCAGTTGTTTTTTTTCATTTGTATATTGTGTGAGTTTGACAAATTATCACAGGAGGCAACATGGATAAACGGTTGGAATGAGACATCAGCCACGGACTACTGTAACAAGACATTTGCCCTTGACCCAGTTGTATCCTTCTGTATAGAGCAAGTCAACACCAGCATAGCAAAGTATATCAATGGCTGTATAAGTGATATTGAGGTAAGAAATTTAATAAAAAATTACTAGAACTTTTGACATGGGAATTTTATTTAGTAAACATAATGAAGCATGTTGGTTTTTTAAAAATAAAATCTGTCCAGAAAATAGGCAACACAGACTTTGTGGAGGCAACACTGGACACTCTAAAAAAAGAATGTGTAACGACCGCGTCACGTGACGAGAGTTTCCAAAAGTCCGATAACTCTAGTTCTAACAGTACTGATGGCGACGGTGTCAGTGTCCTGGACATGTTATCAACCATGGTTTGTCCAAATAACTGCTCACAGAAAGGGGCCTGTATCAACGGTAGGCCTGAAAACTGTTTAATGATTCATATGTTTTTTTTTAATTGAGCTTTAATACTGTTTGTTATCTCCAAATATTTTCATTTATTAAAAACAATTTGTCATTTACGACAGTTTGTAATAAATAATTCTTTTTTTATTTATAACATTGTCATTTCTATTAAATGCATACTGAATAATATTTATTCTATAAGTTTGAGACTTAATTCCTGTTACTTGAATGATACTAAAGGAAGTATACTAAGGATAAACAATCTAACCCTAATATAAATGTTAATTATTGTTTACTTACACTGGTTTTCCTGACAGAGACTTGTCTGTGTAACGACGGCTACATAGGGGATGACTGTTCCTCACAGCTGTCGGTCCCTCCCTCTGATCTCTCCGTCCCCGAGCACGGGCTCTGTGACACCAGTAAACGGGCATGTAGGAAAACAAACGTGGTGGGAACTTTTAATTCCGAAAATATAATTGCCCATTTGACTTACTTTCAGGTAAAAAAAGGATAATATTTACATGCAGAGAACATATGGAATAAAATGATATAATTTGACTATTTAATGAGTTAACGCCATGTATTTCTTGAATATCAGAGTAAAAACCGCTTAGTAAAGGAATTTTTTTTTTTTTTAATCTAAATTCCTTAGATTTTGATTTCTAACATTGATTTCAGTTTAAAAATTGAGGGTATATAATTTAATTGTAAAAATATGTTATTATTTGCTTTATTATAATTTTTTTGCTTTGGCAATGAGATTAACGGTAATGTTGGAAAACACATTCAATTTTATTTTTTTTGTTTTCTATAACTTTACACAAATTTAAACACAATTTTAAAAAGTAAATATGGTAGAAGAGGTTAACCAATAATAGTTTTGCAAACTTATATAATAAGTTTAGTCAATTTTCCACTTAGTCGACAAGCAACGGTATGGATATACAAGACTACTCTGTATCTACAAATGTCACATATCGACATATGAACCTCGTTACTGTTTCACTTCCGGATTCTCCATCCTCACGCAGGCGCAAACGGTCTGCCGGAAGTAACATATATGGTTGGATAATCAAGCTAAGTTATGACGGAACTTCGTTTGGAAACTCGACCACAATCCTTCTGTTTAACAGTGTGACCGAAAGTTGTGAAGCGACGACTCTGATATGTACAGTAAAGGTAAGAAAAACAAAACGTGTGTACACCATCATGTATGACAAAATAAATAAAATGTTTATACGGCTTCTATTCTGATATGAAGGACTTGTAATATAATATATAGAGAAAAAAGGTAAGATTATATTGTTCCAAAGAACAAAGCGTCAACTCTGATAATCATATTTAAGGTAAAGTTAGATATTAAGAGCCATTCTCTGTAATGATTTGAAATTTTATATAGGAGCTGTGGCACGCATAGTCTCAGAATTTCTCCAAACTCTCTTTGATAAAAGTCATTGATACCCTAAACTGAAATCAGGCAAAAATTGGTTGCTATGTTTTATAGTTACCATGGCAACATGTCTTAAAGTTCGAAAAATGGCATTTTTTAACATGTTTAGAGCCCCATAGTGAACATTTGCGGCAATGCAAACAATTGGCAATGACTGTTTCCAAACGTTGAAGGTCAGATGTCTCAAATGCATGATAAACATGTTTGGTAAATCACCTATTACATACGTTACTATGGTAACAAAGTATTCAAAATTAAAAAAAAAATATTCATTGAATTTTATAAAGTCATACACATAAAAAAAAGGCAATTATAGGATGAAATGTGACCGAATAATAGAAAAAAGAGCCTTGGAACATATACCAAGTACAAAATATGATATTTCATTTTCGTTGGCAATGGTTGCCAAGGTTTTTATACCACAGAGAGCCTTCAAAGTAACACTCTGTTTGTTTAAATCTGATCCTATCTTTTAAAA